AGTTTGGTGAGGGTCTGAATAGTTATATGTGTGCTCCTCATGATACAGATTGCTTTAAAACTTTATAGGAGCTTTCCTTTAGATAAATAAGCAGCTCCAGGAATATTATATTTAGACCTTTTTTGGGGGGACACCAGGGATCAAATTCAGGACCTGTGCTTGCAAGGCAGATGGCAGAATCACTGAGCTAAATCCCCAGCCCTGTAGTTAGACCTTTTGATCAGGAATTTAAAGAAAATACCTAGGGTTAGGTCAGCTTCGGCTTCCTCTCTGTTTATCTTTCTAGCTATACCTCGGTAGTATGGGTAGCATTCTGAAATCCTCTTCCTTAACTGCATCCCCCGGCCCTTTTTGTGCCGAGAATTGAACTCAGAACCTTGTGCTTGCCATGCAGGTGCAGCACTGCTGAGCTACATCCCTGGCCTTATCTACATTTTTATCTGCTTGCTTGCTTTGTTGGTTTTTTGAGACAGGTTCTCACTTTGCAGTTCAGAAAGGCCTTGAACTTACCATGTAGGACAGGTTGCCCTGGAACTTGTGATCCTCCTGTGTTAGCTCGGATTACAGGCGTGTGCCACCAAGCCCTATTTAACTTTCTGTTTAATGAAATTCTATTTCTTCTCAGACTTTAAAATGAATGGCAATTATAAGCCTGTGTTGTTTGGACCTTCTTTTTGTTCTTCCATGTTAGATTCTTTTTTCTTTTCTCTCTCTCTTTTTTTTGAGACGGGGTCTCACTGTGTAGTTGAGACTGACCTGGAACTCACTGTGTAGCCCAGGGTGGTCTCGAACTCACAGCGATCCTCCTGCCTCAGCCTCTCGAGTACTAGGAGTGCTGTGATTACAGGCGTGTTCTACCACGCCTGCCTCCATGTTAGATTCTAATCTAGCTGATGTTAGAAAAGTCATGTAAGAGCATCTGTTTTGCTGAGCCTTTTGCAGTCAGATTACCTTTTTTTTTTTTTTTTTTTTTTTTTTTTTTTTTTTTTTTTTGGTACTGAGATTAAATTCTGGTCCTTGCACTTGTGAATGGGGGTGCTGTCACTGAGCTAAATCCCAGGCCCTTTCCAGTTTCTTTCACCTCCTAGTCTTATGGAAGGAAGGGTCTTTGACTTGCACAAGTGAGGGATTGTGTGGTTCTGCACAACTGTGACCTGTGCTCTTATACTGACTGGATCCATCCATTTTTCTGACTTTGCATTTTAATTTGTGCTCAGGTAAGATGAGTGCTTTTCTTTTTCTCATAAGTGATTTGGATCCTTTTGAGTTTCTTCCTGTTTATAGAATGTAAGAAAAGATATCTAAGTTTATTTGCCTTAGAATCTGAGCTAATACCTAGGTTCTGACTTTCTTTTTTTTCAAATACAGGGTCTAGCTAGGCCTTTGAACTCTTAATCCTCCTGCCTCAGCTTCCTGAGTGCTAGATCACAGGAGTGTGCCACCATGCCTGACTGGCTCGGTCGTCATTTATTTATTTATTTATGTATGATTGCACCTTCAACTTTTTACAAGCAAAACATTCTTAAGCAATGCCATCATACATAACCTACAATTGTAATCAAAATTTCACATTTTCTGCACACTGTATATAAATACACATCATAATTGTGCAATTAGCATTAACAGAATGTATACAAAATGAACAAAGTTTAGGTTCACACCAAAAACATTGCAATTTTTCAAAAAACGTGATTAGATATATTTTATCCTCTTACACTAATTTACATTTATATAAATTTTAATTAGGCATACTGAATTGAGGTGCTAAGAATGTCTGCACTATCACCATTTAAAGTTACTACGCTAGCCAGGCGTGGTGGTGCACGCCTGCAATCCCAGCCCTCGGGTGGCTGAGGCAGGAGGATCGCTGTGAGTTGAGACCAGCCTGGACTACATAGTGAGTTCCAGGTCAGTCTCAACTACATAGTGAGATCCTGTCTCAAAAAAACCAAAACAAAACAAAATAAAGTTACTGCGCTAAAAAATGAGAACCAAGACCTGTCATGTAAAGGTACAAGATCCCAATAATGAATGTAACTGTACCAATAATAAATGTAAAATGTACCAATAAATTCAATGAGAAAAAAAAAAGAAAAACTTTACATATAGATACATAGAGAGCAATATATACAAATATAAGGCATGCATTTTTTAAGATGATAAAATTTATCTATTGTAAAGACTAAAAAAATAAAGTTACTGCGCTATACGTCTTTAAATCCAGGTGGCTGGTTGCGGCTCTCTGGGGGGACCCCGTCCAGCGGGGAATAGGAGGTGAGAGCCGCCTCTTATTCGTGGGTCATCAGAGGCCTATCCGATCTTGAATGTCTGTGAAGGAAATCTTTAAGAAGTTAGAGCACATGGCCCAAGTCTGATTTCTGATCAAAGGCTCTTTATTGGCTCAGCAAAACGATTATATACTGTTATCCCAGGGGGAAGGTTCAGCAAGCTTATTGGACAGTTCAAACAAATCTTCTACCAATCACATGAGTCACTCAAGCATTTAACCATAAAGGGACAAAGCATTTATCAGCATACAGCAATCAGTATTTTACCAAATGTGGGGAGGGGTAAGTGGGAAGGCGTACATCAACAATTAACCCTATGCAATCTTTAACTTAACAATCTCCAGGGGCAAGCGGGGCAAGGGGAAAACCAATTTTGATACCAAGATTCGTCCTTTTCTGGTTGCTTCTGCCTTTGTTCGAGGCTTTCCTCAACCCTTCTAATGCTATCATCCACCAGGCCCAGTTTATCTTTAAAAAAGCAACATTCTTAAAGAAGGGGGTTGGGGCCAATGGCAATGGGTTTGAACTGAGGTGGTTCTTTCAAAAGCCTGATGGAAAAGGTGAGACCCGGATCACGGCCGCTGATGTAAAGGCGAAGGCCCCACTCAACCGGACGTGTCCAGTGGTATTGTTTGCCGGGCGTGGTGGTGCACGCCCATAATCCCATAAAACTAGTCTGGATTACAGTGAGCTCCAGGTCGACACCCGTAATCCCATAAACCCAGCCTGGATTACACAGTGAGTTTAGCCTGAATTACACAGAGAGCTCCAGGTCAATCTCATCTGCATAGCTGAGACCCTCATCTCAGAAAAGCCAAATAGAGTCATAGATTGTGTCAATGCCTCAATGGTAGAAGTTACTTTTCCAATGTCAAATGCCAGCGGGCTCCCACAGCTGGTCATCATTTAATTGAGATTTTCTTGACTGTTTTCTGCCCCCGTATATTTGGGTGATGTTCCTGGCTGTGTATTCAAAAGAGAAGTGGTTTTTCTTCGTAAGACCAGTAATCTACTGCCTTATGTATGTATGTATATATCTATATATCTATATGTATAGATATATAGTACAAAAATAAATGCTCTGTGTGTAAAATTGTGTTCAAAAATTTGTTTTAATTCTTCAGTTAAAGCTAGTTCATTTATAGAATTAATGATGGTAGTTAATGTGAACTTAGCGAAATCAGATGTGCAGAGTGTTATATGAGTGGCAGAATTCTGGATAAGACGATTGGAGCAGCCTAGCTTTGCATAGGTGCTGTTCTAAATTCTATTGATTGCCTAAGACAGGGCAAGTTAGCTTCACCTGCCCACGCCTCTGTGACCTGTTCTGTATGGTGAAAGTTGAACAGAATTGTATTTCCTCAGAGGCACATGCCACTGTTTACACAGATCCGCAGCACTGGGCAGGGTGGGGGAGCTGCCTTGGGCCGAGAGCCTCTGTGGAGAAGCAGTAGGAGGTGACCCTTGTTCAAATGTCCATGGGTAGGTTTGGGGAAGGCAGGGGTGGCCATGTTCGCTCTATTAGTGTGGCGGTCAAGAACTTTCACACATCGCCATCGCTGCAGCAGTGCTTACTGCCCGCTGCCGCTTTATGATAAAGTGGTGCTGTCAGCTCAGTCTGCAGAACAGTGGAACTACCTGAAAGCTTAGCCACCTGCCCAGAGCCACACAGCCAAGCATAGGAGCTGACTCAGACATACTCTTTAAAATTTTTTTTTAAATATGGTAACAGATTTCTCAGACAAAGAAGTAAAGCAAGTAAATATATGAAAAAATGCTCCACATCACTGGTCATTCGAGAGATGCAGATTGAAAACAACACTGAGATTCCACCTCACCCCACAAAGAATGGCTGCTATCAAGAAATCAAACAACAACAAATGTTGGCGGGGTTGTGGTGAGAAAGGAACCCTTTTCCATTGTTGGTGGGAATGCAGACTGGTGCGACCACTATGGAAATCAATATGGAGATATCGCAAAGAGCTAGGACTAGAGGTTCCATTTGACCCAGCCATCCCTCTGCTGGGTATCTTTCCAAAAGAACTAAAAGGATCATATCACAGTGATGTATGCGCACCGGTGTTTATAGCAGCACAGTTTGTAATAGCTAAAACTTGGAAACAGCCCATTTGCCCCTCAGTTGGAAACTGGATAAAGATGTGGTTTTTCTATAAAATGGACTATTACTCAGCCATAAAGAACGAGAGAATAGATTCATTCATAGGAAAATGGATACATATTGAGGATATACTCCTAAGTGAGATAAATAAATCATACATGTGTAAAAACCGAATAGTTTCTCTGGTGTGAATAAACTGCAATAATACATAAGATCCTAATAAGATTACTGACATTGTGAAATGGGAAGAAAGGGGCTAAAGGTGTAGGGAAGGTGGAATGGGTGGGGGAAGGGTAATAAGGGAAAAGAAAAAAATGTGAAAAAAAATATGGTAACAGCTACCCAACATAGAACTTTGCATTTTAACCATTTTCAGTGTACAGTGCTGTGACACACAGTGAGTATTCACAATGCTGCAATCAGTAACACTGTCCATTTTAGCCTGTGCTATTTTTCATTGTTGCTTTGTCTCTCTTCTTTAGGGCGCTTTAAACCATCTGAAATTGGATTGAGCACAGTTTGCATTTTCAGACTAGACTGAATACTGGGTCAACTGTTTTTTTCTTTCCCATAACCTCAGCCAGCTCTGTTTTATGTAGAATTTCTTGATGGGTAATTACAGGTGAGTCTATTGTTTCAAACTGGACTACCTGTTATGGCAACTTTTCTGACACCAGATTGGAGCTGTTTGGTCTGTTCCTGCTGTTGTTGGGCCCAGTGGAGCAGGGATCTAAGATAGGTCCAGGAGCTGTGTCCCCACCCCCTGGGCCAGAGCGCCACCAGACTAAAGTTGGCTTTCTGCTGAGTACTTGGGAAATAAACTTGCCTTGTCATCCTCCACTCAAGCTTCCTGCTCACTACTTTCAGTTTCAGTTTGGACTTTTAAAATCTCTTACTCTTGCTCTGGCTGAATTACTTTAGGTAAAAATGAGTTTTATTGACTGGCTGTAGGATGCATTGGGATGTATGAGGAGGAGACTTGAGGTGGGGGTGGATCTGCCTCAGTAGGGTAACTTGGTCAGTGGTCCACTGGTCAGTGGTCCTGCTGCAGTGGTTTTGAAGTTCTGTCCTGGTGGCAGAGCCAAGGGGTGAAACATGACAGGCTGGGATGAGAACTGGCAGTTGTCCTGACCACACAAATAGTTTCGTCTCTTCTAAGGAAATTTTACAGCCAAGTGAACAGAAAACAGTTCAGCAAGCTACTTGCCGGAGACCCGAGACAGAAAAATTATCTTTACCAAAAGGTTGACACAGCCTTTGCAAAATATTTTCCAAAGAACCAATCGCAAAGCAGGCTTATTTTTTTCTCCTTTGATCCTGCCATGCAGGGTACATCTGGTTCCGTTCTGGATGTACAGAGCTTCTGAGCTTGCTTGTGGGTGGTAGGGGCTGGATTTCCCAAGTTTCATCAGTCCCTTATCCTTTCTGCATCAGAGGTGACAGGTAGGGAGCTGAAGCCTTCATGTTGGACAGTGGAGGGCGTCATTCCAGTCTCTCTGACTAATAGGACCAGCTGCCATTGTGTGAGGCTTGACCCGAGGAAACGGCTCTAAATATAGCCTTCACTTTTGGCAGCTGCAAACACCTGGAGGAGTAGGCGGGGCCTTAGAGAGAAGCATTTGCTGTTAATAGCGTGTCTGTCAGACAGCTGTGTACTGTCAGAGCTTGTTTCATGCTATGTTTATGCATAATTAAAAACAGCCCAGTGGATCCATTGGCTTATGGTTGGGTTAAGTTTAGAAACATGCAGTTTGGGCGGTTGTCTGCTGTGAGCAGGGATGATGTCACTGATTTGAGTAAGACCAGAAGAGAAGCTGTTAATATAATTAGCAAACATTTCTTTGATCTCTGTAATGAACACAGCTTAAACAGCCTTTGTGGCCTTTCCTCTCTGGTGCTGGTGAGCCAAGCTGCCAATGATGTGATTCTATTCATTTGAGAAGACTCTAGTTTATGTGCTTGGTAGGTCCTTTTGACAAAAGGGAATTTGTAAGTAATTAAAAGGAATACCAGCATTCACAAATTTACACAGTGGTTTCACCAAAAAAGAAACAAAAAATAACTCATAAACATGTAAAAAGATACTTGTTTTCTTATAAAAGTAACAAGTGTTAAGGGAATAAAGCCAAGGGCTGTGTATGATAGGGAACCAATTGTGTAAAAGGGGAAAAATATGAATTTATATGTTCCTTGTGTATGCATAAGGAAACCAGAAGATCTATAACAAATTAATATGAACAACTGTACATGTGTGTAGGTGTTGAGAGAAGAAATAATATTGTCATTGTTTTGTGAAAATTTTGAGCCATGTGCATGTGCTGATTTAAAAAAAATTAGCCAGGCATGGACAGGCCTATAACCTCTCAGGAGACTGAGTCAGGAGGATCTCTGCAAATTCGAGGCTAGCCTGGGGTCTATAGTGAATTGAAGGTCATCTGGGACTACATAGCAAGACCAGCCTCAAAAAAACAAAACAAAAGTAAACAATCAGGATTTTTTTTTTTTTTAAGTGGCGCTTCTTTGAATTCCACAAAGTTACTTTATTTCTTTACAGGTGGTGCTGGGGATTGAGCCCCAGGGCCCTGAGCATGCTAGGGCAAGCACTCCACCACTGAAATATACCCTGGGCCCCCACAGTCACAGTTACAGTGCTCCCTTTTTTGGGTTTGTCTTAGTATTTTTGTTTTGAGACGGGGTCTCAGAGTGTGGTTCTGGCTGGCCTTGAACTTACTAAGTTGCCCAGGCTGGCCTCTACTTGAAGTGATCCTCCGAGGCAGATAGCAGCACCACTGAGCTAAATCCCCAGCCCAAGTTTTTTTTTTTTTTTGAGACAGGGTCTCACTACATAGTTGAGACTGACCTGGTACTCACTGTGTAGCCCAGGCTGGTCTCAACTCACAGTGATCCTCCTGCCCCAGCCTTCCCCTGCGCCACCACGCCCGGCCAAGAGGAGCTTTCTTAACTGACTTCTTTGCCCACCCCTGCTCTCCTTGTGGGCAGCAGATATCTTCATATTGTTATTTCCAGTGTGGGGACTTTGGGAAGAAAGTGACACACGGTTTATTGGCCCTGGTACTTTTTCCTGTTGTTTCTTGTTTTGTGTGTTTTTAAAATTAGTACGTGTTTGCAGTATGTAATGATTTTATTACATTTATTGTGGGGAGTTGTACACGTACGTAACACATCTTAATTCTATTTTTCTTCCCTTTCCCTCCCATCCTTCCTACTCCCTCCAGCTCCTGATCCCTTCCCTTTTGTTTGTGGGTTTTTGTTTTTGTTTTTGTCTTTTGAGATAGGGTCTCACTATGTCCTTCAGGCTGGCCTTAAACTTAGGGTCCTCCTGCCTCAGCCTCTAGTGCTGGGACTACAGGCTTGTGCCGCCATACCCAGTCAGTTCCCTCCTTTGTGAAGGTCTGTTATTTCCATATTTTCTTGATTCCTTTGTAAATATTTTTCCCTTTCTCTTCTCCTTTCATCTTTTGTTTCCCTTCCCAGTTTAAATAGATATTCCTACTTCCTAATCTTTATTTTGTTCTTTTTTTTGTTTGTTTGTCTGTTTGTTTTGTTACCGGGGATCAAATTCAGGTCCTTGCACTTGTGAGGCAGGCCGCAGAAGAACCACTGGGCTAAATCCCTGGCCCTTTTTATTTTGTTCTTTAGTTAAACTATATGATTTTAAACTTGTATGTCTGGTTTATTTCACTTTAGATTATGGTCTTGAGGGCTGGGGATTTAGCTCATTGGTTCCAACGCCTGCCTTGTAAGCATAAGGGTCTGAGTTCGATCCCCCATACCAAAAAAATATTTTTTAAAAAAGAGAGAGAGATTATGGTCTTGAGAAAACATCCACTAACCTACAAATGCCTCAAGTGTACCCTTCTTTATGGCAGAGTGGCACTCCCTTGTGTATAAGTACTACATTTTCTTTATTCTTTCATTGGCTGATGGATATATAGGCTGTTTCCAAGATTTTGTTGTGAATTGTGTTGCTATAAACATGGGTATGCATGTACCTTTTCCTATGGTTTCTCGGCTAGAATCGGTAGCTTAAAAGACTTCCACAGTAGGAGTGTCAGATTCTGTGACAAACCCTAAGAAATAGGCTTTGCCTTTGGCTGGACAATTAGTGCAATATCATTTGGTCAGGATTGAAGTCTGTGGCCTTTTTTCTTTATTTGTAGGAACTTACAAGCAGCGATTGGCGCCTACTATGACTTTGAGAGCCCAAACATCAGTGTGCCCTCCATGTCTTTTGTGGAAGATGTCACCATAGGAGAAGGGGAGTCAATACCTCCTGATACTCAGTTTATAAAAACGTGGCGGATCCAGAATTCTGGTAAGTGTGTGATGGGTAATCCTCTCTTGCTCAGTTATCTTCTCTTTTCTTTCTTTTTTTTGGTACTGGGGATCGAACTTGGGTCCTTGAGCTTTTGAGGCACTCACTGGAACCACTGAGCTAAATCCTCAGCTCCTCGGTTTTTGTTGTTGTTGCTGTTGTTTTTGAGACAGGGTCTCACTGTGTAGTTGAGACTGACCTGGAACTCACTATGTAGCCCAGGCTGGTCTCGAACTCACAGTGATCGTCCTGCCTCAGCCTCCCGAATGCTGGGATTACAGGCATGCGCCACCACGCCCGGCTTCAGTTTTTTTCTTAATAGTTAAGAGAAATAAGAATGAAATGTTGGAGCTTAGCATCTGATTGTTTGACTCTGAGCATTTTCTTATACATAATATGTAATACAGTGTTTGTACCTGTGTAATGACCACACATCAGTGAAATATCACCTGCTGCAGAATAGGAAGAATTTCGATCCCGTGCTTCCAAGCCACCTAAGTCTTGATGGCATCTACATATAAGCCGGTGTTCATTTGGTACTAGGAAATAGGCTTGTATTGTTTCCACCTGTACAGTTCTGCTTCATCATTTTATTTCTGCTCTAATTAATCTTCCAGTCATTTCCAGCAGGCAAGAGGAGGTACATCTTTGAATAGAACAAGGTAGATGGAAAGAGCCTTGAGCATCTCCTCTTATAAAAACTCATTTCTTTGCAACCATTGAGCTATCTGAGGCATTAATACCATTTTGAAAAAGAGTATAAGAAGTATAGAAATTTGCTCAGAAAATAGTTGCAGTTGTTGAACTTTTAAAAAAGCACATTGGTGTAATAATGTACTGCTATCTCTTTTAAGACAAACTGGAACTAAGTTAAACATAATTCCTCAAAAGTAGCATTCAAATACTGGACTGGAAATGGTTAGTTATTACCTTTTACTTGTTAAATTCTTCTTTTGCATGGGATTAGTATCTCGTCCTGTCTCCTGGTGATCTGTGCTGACTAGTCGAAGGCCTTTTTTTTTTTTCTTTCTTTCTTTTTATTGAGGTTATTGGTGCAATCTAGGTATACAATACAATTACATTCATCCTTGGGATTCTGTACCTTTACATAATAGGTCTTGATTCTCATTTTTCCCCTTGTCCCTGCTCTCCCTCCACCCCCTCCTCCCCTCCCCATTTACAAACACTTCATTTCCATTTTTTCAGTTTCTCATATTTTTTTCCTCTCCCTTATTACCTTTCCCCCACCCTTCCCACTTCCCTTACACCTTTAGCCCTTTACTTCCTATTTCACATTATTAATTGTCTCATTAGGATCCTGTGTACTATTACAGTTTTTCACACCAAAGAAACTATTCGGTATTTCAGTTAAAGAAATCTCTGTATGAACATTAAAAATAGGGAATCCTAAAATAAAACTAAAAAGGAAAGTAAAAGAGAAAAGGCAATGATGTAACATCAAAATAATCCTTAATTCTGGAGATGAAAATGGTCCCTGAATATATTTAAATTGCTTCTCGCTCTTATAGTCTTATCTTATTCTTTTTTCATTATTTAGAGAATACTTTATTAGTTTCTGTAATCAAACCCACGTAGATATGACCTTACATATTTAGTACGATGTGTTACCCCTGTACACATGGAAAAAAAAATAAATTAAATTAACATTTCTACACCAATATGATTGTCCATTTCTGTACAGTGCCAAGTCAACACAGTAAATTGGGATGACTTTTTCCAAAGTTGGCAGCACCGTTAAAGTTTCCCAAAATTCAATTTATATGTGTGTGTGTGTGTGTGTGTGTATACATATATATGTGTATCTATGTATCTATGTATATATACATAGATACATATATATATACACACACATATATAAAGACTAATGATAGTATGTTATGCATCAATAGCAGCAACCCTTTTCCAGGTTCTGCAGTCGTCTGAACAAAATTATAGACACTCAGCACATTCCATTAAAAAA